AAAGGGTAATTCTTCATCAATGGCTAAAAATTGCGCAATATACAGAACTCATCATGCAGTCTGGTCAAACCAGCAACCTCAATACCCAAAGTGGAAAAACAAAATGTACAGTACGGGCTCGTACGGTATCGAAGCTCGGTAGTTGGGAGAACACTAGAGAGAGACGGGGAAGCCATTCAACCCAGCATCCTCCATCGGAGAACTCCAACACACCGCCGGCGTTTACACATATAACTCTTATCATTATATTGTTGCCGACGGAGCCAATTTCTGTCGACAGTAGAAGTGGGACAGAGATGTTGATGTGGAGGGGGAGGAAGAAGATGAAGCACTGCTTCAACTTCTTCTCTTGTTGACAAGTTTCATGGCCTCTTCTCAGCATCGTTGCGTTTTCGGTATCCTCTTCTCTCTCTCTCTCTCTCTTTCTATATATCTGTTTTCATTAATTCATCTCTGGTTATTGCCTTTGGATTGCTGAGAGATGGTTGGGAAGGGAAGGGAAAAAGATGCGATATTTTCTTGCAGCTAATTTGATTTGAAACTTATTTGCTGGATTCTATTTCTGTTAATGGTTTCTGTCGATTAAGAAGGGAGTTTTATGGCGGTTGATTTGTTTTATCTTTTCTTTTTTGGGTTTTGGTGTGCTTATGGGTGTGTTATTTTCGTGGCAGTTGGCAATATACCATATGATGCCACTGAGGAACAGCTTATAGAAATCTGCAGAGAGGTTGGGCCTGTTGTTTCTTTCAGGTTGGTTTTCAAGATTGCTACTTTCGAGTTAAAACCCTAGAATTTAATATTTCAGGTTCAGTTTTATTAAATTAATCTGAACTTTGGAGTTGAATTTACATTGATCCTTAGTTCTAGAATGTGCATGATGAACACTGAGGTGCAGCTTTTGTTGCTGGGTTTGTATTTTTTTTTTTATAAGTGATTAGGAAAAATGTACTAATTAATGATTGTGGACGTTAATTGTTGAAGTCTTGAAGATTTAAAATCATTTTACAGTTTGCACCAAGCTGGATATATGAGATGGGGTTTGATGCTTTTGTTCAGTTAAAACATAAATACTCTATGTATGGCAGTTATGGTATGTGAGGGGTCAATACTGAATGGATTTAGTCAATTAATCTTGTTGAGGATCCCAAAGACATCATATGTTCTATCCAAATATCCTTCTTGGCCTAGCCAGAAACTATGCTTCTCTGGTGGAAAGAACTTGGCTTGATGAGATTTTGTTGGGCCTAATGCGCATGAGAGATCTGCCTTGTTCCCTGTTGAATTTAATTTGTTGAACTTTCAAATATAACTCTAAAGAGGATCAATGATTTTCCCTATCTCAAGGAGGAGCATTGTTGGATTCAGGGCTTGTGGGGGAGACAAAACTGAACAATTTGAATCATAATAAAGAGATCATCAGTCAGGGGTATGGTAACAAAGCTTGGGTTGGCTTGGCTTGGTTCAGCTTGGCTTGGTTCAATTTGGCTGGGGTTAGAGTATGATGCTCTTGTTCTAAGATAAAAAGGCATAGTTTTCCATTTTCATGTCGATGATATGCCACTTCTCACTGTTAATCCTATTTAAGGCTTAGGCATTTGCAGCAATTATATAAATACTTAATATGGGTATCATTGTCATAAGCATGTGAATAACTGCTATGGTAATTGATTGCATGCCTCTCCAATAAAAGGGTTAAGCATAAGGGTTGGAGTGCTTTTGATCTCCATGCTATTGATGAGGCTTTGATGGAGTTCTGTATCTTGTCTAATTTTATCTTTGATTTAGAAGTGGAAAAGTCTTGGATTTCACTTTGATTAGTCGTTTTCTACCCCTTTCCTCTACCCTTTTCCTCTACCCTTCATTTGCGGTACCTTTTTGTTTAATATTTCTACTTTTTGTTTCAGATTAGTTATTGATAGAGAAACTGGCAAACCAAAAGGTTATGGTTTCTGTGAGTATAAGGATGAAGAGACAGCATTAAGCGCACGTCGTAATCTACAAGGTTATGAAATAAATGGTCGGCAGTTACGAGTTGATTTTGCTGAAAATGACAAAGGTTCTGACCGCAATCGAGAACAGGTGAACTTTATTTTTAGTTTGCCTTCTTTTCCATTTTTTATTAGTACTGATAATCACTTAGTTGCACTATTGCAGCTCCCTTTTCTCATACTAATAACTTTTAATTATGTTTTTGGACCAAACCAGCCCAATTGGTTTGCCATGTTACTACTCCAATCAGATATAAATGGCTCAAAGAAGTATTTTATTTTTGTGGCTAATCTATTTGTGCCACTCTTGAGTAAGATATACATCATCTAGCATCTATTAGTGAATGGTATTAGATGCTTGAACTATATTATTGGGAAATATGAGCTTTTTGAAGTAGCAAGTCTTCTTCATTACAGAGAGGCTGACACCTGACCTGAAGCATATTTCATCACACAAACATGAACTATCCAACTGCTTTGCTCCTTTCATCCTCTGCAATGTGATCATATTTCTCCTGAGTCTTGATTGAGTAAAAGTGGCATAAAATGCAGTTTTTAAAGAAGCTTAAAGTTAGGTTTCCTTCTCTTGCAGGGTCGTGGTGGAGTGGTAGTTTCAACTACTGTTGGTTAGTTCATTTCCTCTAAAACTGTCTACTGTTTTATTTCAAAAGAATACAACACTAAGTGCATTATTGTTTTTTCCTCCTCACTCACACATCATAGACCCTCAAAAACAATTAGGAAGCCATGGAGAATCTGTTCAACAGCAGCCAATTGGTCTCCATTTAGCGATTACAGCAGCAACTGTCATGGCTGGAGCTCTAGGTGGAATGCAAGCTGGTCTGCAATCAAATCAAAACGGTTTACAAAGTCAGTCAGCAGCTGCTAATGATCCCTTAACCCTTCATCTTGCTAGAATGTCAAGGAATCAGCTGAATGAAATTATGTCTGATATTAAGGTATGTGGGTTTGAGCAAAGCTTGGAGTGGTTGACTTGCATTGCTTAAATTAACATATACTCTTTCCTTTTCCTTTTTTTTTTTTTTCTGAATGAAAGAAAATGGCTACACAAAATAAGGAGCAAGCTCGTGATTTGTTGCTTGCAAGACCTCAGTTACTGAAAGCTATTTTTCAGGTGCTTTTTATTTTTGACATTTTATAATCACAGAGATCTCTATATTGCTTAAGTTTTTGTTGGTGTATCTAATGTCCCAGTACTTTGTGGACAGAAGCTAGTCTTAGTTTCCTATCGTCTCCCCCCCACCCAACCCCCCCTCCCCTCTCTCCCTCTTCCCCTCTTTCTTACAGGTTGATAGAAATTTTAAATTTTAACAGAAGGACTAGTTGTAGATTGATCTGAAAACATGTTGTTTGAAGTTGCAAATGCAAATAAGATAGATGAAAAGGTTGTCAAGAAACTAGTTACAATTCAAAATGAGTTCAACTTCATGGTTGGAACTTCTTCTCGTTGTTCTTGATCTAGATGACAGCTTTCTTTATCCTGATGCACTTTGCAGTTTCATGCACCTGATTTTCCTTATAGGATCTTTATTTGATACATCCATAATAGTTTTACTTATTGAATATTTATTTGGATTTTTATTTAATGTTTCCAGGCTTATTTATACAGAATTTGAATTTTTAACCTCTGCCTTCGTTTGCAGGCACAGATAATGCTAGGGATGGTGACTCCACAAGTGGTTTGTTCAATTACCTCACAGGATTGTGTTATTTTGTTAATTGTTTTCCCATTGTGTAAGAGAAAGATTCTTTTCTGTCATTGTCTTTTGCAGCTGCAGATGCCAAACATCCGACAGGCTCCTGGCCAACCAATGCAGCCTTCACTAAAAGATAGCCACCATGGTCAGCAGCCATCAGTTGAAATTCTCCCTGGCTTACCCCCTCTTGCACCGAAGGTGCTGTCTGGCATGATGCCTAAATTGCCAGAATCTCAGGTGTCTGCTGTGCTGCAAACTTCTTTGGCCCACAACCAATTTTCTGCAGCATTACAGTCATCTGTGAATCCTCGAGTACAGCATTCAAAACTTTCCAGCAACTGTGTTCTGTCTCCAGCTGCTTTGCCTACACAATCAGGAGTTCCAATACTTCCTTCCATAAATCCCTCTCTCAGACCTCAAGTTCAGGCTACTAATTTGTCATCGCTGAACCAGCAAATTCAGCCTAAGTTGGCCCAAAACTCTGGACACCTTGTAGCTGCTAGTTTAGGCCATAACTCTCAGGCACTCCCAAATGCAGCTATGCAGTCTTCTTTTATACCTCATCCATCAGTATCTGATGCTGGGTTTCAGGTGATCAACTTTTCTAAAGCTTCCTTTTTACTTACAGTGGGAAAGGGGCAGAGGTGTGTCTTTCTGTAGAAAGCTCCTATTTTTTTCCAATTTGAACCAAAAATGTTTTTTAAGCCCTTCTATCCAAGATTTAGTAAATATCATTTAGTAAAGTTATTTACTGCTGTTTTGTTAACCGAACAATCAAATCCTGAAAGATTAACTTACTGCTGTTGAAATTAAATTTGAAAGTCAGTGGTTCCTTGAACAAAATATATTTTCTCTCTCCTTGTCAGGTACATGGGCTGCTTTGTGGTGGTGATCTTATCATTCCCTCCCTGCCAGGCCCCTGTTGTCCCCCTTTTTTTTGGCCATGGTCCCCTGTTTTCTCTACCATGTACTAGTTGGAACCTATTTCTTAAATCTGTAGATGATAGTAATATAATATACATGGGTAATATTCTAAGTTCATTCTTGTCCCTAACTTCATTCTTAATTGCAGCCTGGCACCTCAAGAACATCAGGCCTTGGAGAGAAATCAAGCAGGGTTCATGATTCTTTGGAAGCAATAAATTGGCCTTCAAAACTGGCAGGATTGGAAGATGGAAGGGGCAGTAATTTCTCAATAGGGACTTCTGGTGCATCTAATCTACCTGGACCATCCCATCCATTTGCTGTTGATCCAAGACCTGTAACCAAAGTTAATAGACCAGAAGTATTGCAGCAGGCCAATGACCAAATTTCACAGGTATTGTGTTATTATGACTTTTTTGGCCTTCAGGTATTTGTGTTATATAATTGATATCAGAAAATGACACTCTTCTATCTACTAGTTCTTGTGAATCTACTTTTCATGCTTTGTGCTTCAGTCTCCTGGTGAATGGCAAAAGACATACTCTACTTGCTCAATGCCATGGGTTGAATGGGTTCTATAATTAAACAATATGGACTTTGCTTAAATGATGCCTATTGTTATTATTTCTTTACAAAAATAAAACCCTTAATTGGTATAAATTTATAAAACAAATGAAGTGAAAATAAAATCAAATAAAAAAAAGTTAAAATGAAAAATTAAAAGTATCAATGGAGGTTTTATATCTATCAAATTAATATATCACTAGAACTCTCTCCGAAATGTTATGTATATATTAATATGACAACATAGTAATATAATATACATGTGAAATACTCTAAAATTCCTATTTAACACTTTAAAGTAAATAAAGTAGACGTTCAGATTTAATGAGATACATAGTCTTGTTCTTCAATGCAAAAGAAGCATACTGAATGTAGTTTCTAAAGTTCAGCCAAGAGTTTAAACAACAAAGGTTTTTGTTTTGAAACTTTAATTTTCTTTCTAAATTACAGAAATGTCATGGTTGTGAAATCTAAGTTGTGATAAGAAGTAAATACCTCATTGAAACAACATTTTGATATTGCAAAAATATAATGATTAATGAAAACTTAGTCTTTTTAATATGCATCTTTATCTGCACAACTTGATATTCAATGTCTTTGAATGTAATGGTTTTTCAATTTGTAAAAATGATGGCACACATGAGGAACAATACTTGGTCTTTTCATGGGAGTTTGGATTCTTGAGTTACTGGTGCTAACTGCAACATGATTGATATGAGAGTAACCATGAGCAAAAAATTAGTGGTCTCGTGGTTCTATGTGATTTACAATTGTTGTTTCTCTTTTTCAGCCACAGCTTCCCCCCGGCATGGAATCTGTCCTACTCCAGCAAGTGTTGAACCTAACTCCAGAGCAACTGAGTTCACTGCCACCAGAACAACGTCAACAGGTCATTCAACTCCAACAGGCCCTCCACAAGGATCAAATGCAGCCGTCATAGAAGTGCTGTCTCCAGGTTTTTTAATCACTGGAGGGAGAAAGGTTTTCTGTTAACTTATTTTAATCTCAACGCTTGTAAAATGATATATCACGGCCACATCTGATTTATTATGCAAGAGCATCATACCATTAATGTAACATTTAGAAGCCTATTTTTAGAATACATGAAAGAATCATTGAGAGGAATAGGAAAATGAAAAATTTGCATCATCTTCTTGTTATTCTGCCTCCCAAGACTCAAATCTTTTGTCACTTGCATACAATTTGCTTTAAGTTTTTAGCCAGAACAGAAAAGATTGCTTGCTTGGGTTGCCTTTAATCTGTTTCAATGGATTCATTTTTCAGCTTCTATATCATTCCATCTTCCTTGTTTTTCATTTTCTTTTCAATTGATGTTGTCCCAGATTGTGAGGAGATTATTATGAGATAGCTCTTTTTGGTGGTCAACTTTCTTCTCTCTCTCCCTCACAATATCTTGATAAGCAAGTTCACTTTCTGGTTGCTTAATGTATATATTGTTGGGAAGGTAAATAAATGGAATT